ACATTNATTGGCCGGGGGACTACGTCTACATGTCCGACGTTATTGTGCCGCCTGGACGCGATGGAGTTATTCAATGTGTTGAAGAGCTGTGTCAACACCTCAGATACGTCTTCAATAAAAAGTTCGTCGTCATCTGTCAACATGACGACCACGTCCACGTCGCCCACGTGTGCAAGCAGACAACGAACTCTTGCCGTTGCTCCTGGCTCGTCATAAGTAAAAATTTCAGAAGATATAAACGCCGCAACATTCGAAGACGCGTTTATGCGTGCGACTTCGATGCCGCTGACTGGTCCGACATTGTTGGATATTTCTGTACAAACGGCCACATCGCAGAAGAAGTGTTCTGCGACGGTGCCGATGTCAGACTATGTAGTGAAATTCGAAATTTTTCCGTAAGCAAAAGTAATACAATAATCATATTATTTTCAAAATTATTATACTTATATCGTTTTTACAGAAAAACCAAAATTCAGTATCTTCCCAAAAAGGAATGGTGGAAGCATGCATCCACCAGGGTCCTGGGGACCTTTGCGGCACAAAGTCCGCATATCGACGGAATGATGCGGGTGGCCGGGGCCACATTGGAGCACGTAAGCTCCCAAGCAAATCGCAAAACGGAGTCCACCAACAACCAAATGTTCCAATGACTTTTGAAGATTTATTTAAATATTTCCCTACTTGCCCTCCCGATGCTTTTGTAAATATTAAAGAATTTTACCTAAATCCAATTTTAAATAAATACGACGAAAACGATAAACTTGTAAGAATAACTTTAAGGAATTGGTGCACTATAATTAGAGACTGGGATATATTCGATTTCAATACTTATTACAATACAACAGGCGTCAGTCCGTATTTTAACGCGTATTCTAGGTCATCTAATAACTTATATTTTACGGTAGAAAAATCGTTAGACATAGCGAACGAATTATTAAATTTTCAATTTCAAAATAACGCGACAGAAATCTACAATTTCCTTAACACATTATATTGTGTGTTGGATAAAAAAATTCCGAAATTAAATTCAATATGTATTTATAGTCCTCCGTCAGCGGGCAAAAATTTTTTTTTCGACGCTGTTGCGTCATATTTCTTAAATTACGGTATGTTCGGAACAGCTAATAAAAATAATAATTTTACGTGGGCAGACGGTGCAGGGAAAAGACTTGTCATTTGGAACGAACCGAATTATGAACAACATCATATAGAAAAAATGAAAGAATTATTAGGCGGCGATACGACTAGAGTTCACGTGAAATATAAAGGCGATCAACCTTTACAAGGCCCCCCGATAATATTACTTACTAATAATTATTTATCGATATGTAATGATAGTCTATTTACCGACCGTTTACGTACCTATCGGTGGGAAGCAGCACCATTCCTTAAAGATTACGCAAGAAAACTAAATCCATTATTTTTTTTTAAATTATTAGTACAATGGAAAATAGTTGTAGACAATATTGTTATATTGTAAATATTTTAATTGTATTAGCTTGTAGTGAAATAAAAAAACATATTCCGTCATATATATATCAGTTGTTGTTTATTGATTATTCATAATAATATTATAATATATGTGTACATAAAAAGATAAAAAAAAATAAATATATTAACGGCGTGTACTGATAGTACTGCCCGAAGAATTAATCGGTGTTACATAACGATTATCGAATGAAGACAGTGATTCGTGGAAATAATAATCGTCTGTTGTATTAAACGTGTACATGGTATTTTCTGGTAACACGTGAGGCTCGTCGAATTGTGTAAAATGATTAGGAAATCCAAAACCGACTTCCATTTCTGTTGATATATCCCATGTACATTCTACATCAGTGTAATCTTGAGGTATAATAGTGTTTGAAGTCGTAGTCATCTTATGTACAGGATAAATACCTATATGTAAACTCGGTTGTAATCCTTCTGAGCCCGGTGAATTTAATCCGATTTGAGTAAATTGAGACATTTCGATAGGTAAATAATATCTGTTTTTATATTTGAAAATACGTTTAAAATTACTATCAGTCAACTGTACAAGTTCCGTGGTAGAATGTTTTTCTGTATTTTTGTCCATATTTAATATTGAAACGCGATTGACGTCACCTTGAGTCATAGACGCGAGCTTTTTAGTTGGGCGTCACTTTGTTGTAATCAGAAAAATATGGGGCAGCCTAATTATATAAAATTGATTCACATGTTAATTATAAATTGAATTACCTTTCTCCTTCAGGCGGCAAATGATCTGTTGAATCTGATAAAGGTGACCGTAGTAAATAAAAAGATCTTTAATGTAACAACTGTTTTTTTTTATTAAATTTTTTTCGCAAATTCAATTATAAAAACGTCAATTCGCTTGTACTATTCAATTAAAAATGAAAAAATGAAAATATAATTCTTTACGGAAACATATTTCGAGTGAGATTCTCAATTTGTCAAAGCGATTATTATTATTATTACCGCCGAGTCGCGATAACTCGAAGTCGAAGTGGCGGAAATATTCACTTCGAGATGTGTATTATTCGAGATACCTCGTCTGGCGACCACGGAGGTGACGGTTCCCCCTGAGATTTCCCCGGATTCCCGGATACGTTCTGCACATCGAAGCGTGGACCCGCTCCTCGATTCGCCATTCCAAATGCGCGCAGAACGCACGCCGTCGGGTGGATTTCCTTCGGCCCTCTCACGGCCATCCACAACGTCGCTCATAAGCTCAGCCGAATCCCACCGCACGGCACCGACTGCAGGTTCGGCACCGACCGGAGTCCGCCGGGCTCACTCTTCATAAAATGTGATTAGGACATAATTCGACGCCCGGAGGCCGACGGAATGAGCGATCGATCCGGGCCGGCGGCCGCCACGCGTCTCCCGATCCACCGTTGTCAACGCAATCCGCGTTGTCAGGGGTAGCCGAGAACACGGGACGGCTCTACGACCGGGACGCGACAAGCAGCCCGAACTGGCCAAGCGGAGAAAGGGGCCCGTAGTCCCGGTTTTCCCGCCGGGAGCGACCCCGGAACGGAGCCCCCGACGCCCACATGTAAAGAGGGCGCGGGATTCGACATCCGGTCCGGGAATCGCTGAACCTTCGTCGAAACGATGGAATATTATCGCCGTTGCCGCGGTGACAAATGTTTGAACGAAAGCAACACGAGATTTAGAAATGCTGGTTAGAAATGCTTATTGAACACGTAAACAAATCAACTGTTGCTCCGTGGTTACGTTCGCCGGAAAAATTTACGAGCGCCCGCCAACCGGGTAAATATCATTGCGGTGCTTTTGACGATACTAGAAATTTGTTTGATTTTGTATGAAACACGATTGCAGCATTTACCTTTCCTCTGTGATAATATTCAAGCCGCGCATCATAACGATATCATCCATGGCAGTCAACATCAACAGAATGTGTTTAAATAAGCCAAAAAAAAAGTCAACCATAAAAAAAAATAGTACAATTTTCTTAACATAAGATTGTATAGTTATATCTATTTTCTTAGCCTTTCTCTTTTATGTTTGGTTTTTTGTTTTTGTTTTAAAATATTATGCTCACTACTAAATTTATGTACAAATCTCGTGTCCATATAATCGACATAAATGACATAATGCGATCGTTAGACTAAAATACATCGCGTTCAGGAAGTCATATATAAATGTATAATATCATTTTATTTGAACGTATAAACAAAAAATTTAGTATACAATTGTTAACAATAAAGAAAAATTGGTTTTCCGGAAAACAAGAGAAAATATAAGTACAGAGTGTCCCATCTAAACGGGCACACTCACTATTTCGGAAAGTATTGACTATCTTCGGAATTCGTTTGATAGACCACTTAAGAAACAAACAGCTCGCCAATTTGAAATCCATGTTATGTTTTGACACCTCTATTTTTGGGGATAAAACCATTACCTACTATAGATTTTCAAATAGCACCTATATTATTGATCCAAATATTTTTATTTAGGCCACTATCTGAAAATTAAAAGTAAATAGTGGCTTTATCCTCAAGAATAAAGGTGACGAAAAATAACATAAAAGTAAAATTGTAAAACCGCTTGTTCCTTAAATGTTCTACAAAACAAATTCCGAAAAAAGTTGATACTTTCCGGGATAATGAATGCACCGACTTAAACAGAACACCCTGACTTAATGACTTAGGGTCATTTACTAACAATAAGAAAAAAAAATTAAAATTGTACAAATTNTGTAATGATATGCTATTTAAGCTATCATACATTATGTAAAATAAAATATTATAAGTCAAACAATTAACAACGGAAATTATAGTTAAACATTTACATCCGATGCCATTCTTTTTTCTTATCAAATAACATATATTTTAGTGCGATATTTACTCATCGTAAGGAGATAATACTTAAGCTATCATATATAATTAAAATAAATTATTTAGTCAATATTGTAAAATAATTATATTAATTTGTAGCCATTAATTATTAGATTAAGTTGTTAGTATTAACCAAATTAAGATAATACATTTACACACGCACACACACACAGATCTCCAGTTATAAGGAGGCCGGACACTTCTAATCACACAGAGTGTATGTATTGTTCCCGTTGCTTTTGGACAGATGATCACAAGCGAGTGTAAAAGACTACGCAGAGATTCTTACAAAAGCACGGGAACCTAGAACAGTGTTTTATATTTTAAAAAAAATTAATAAAAAAGAAACAGTTGTTATATTAAAAATCTTTTTATTTACTACGGTCACCTATATCAAATTCAATAGATCAATTTGCCGCTTGCAGAAGAAAGGTAATCAAATTTATAATTAATTTATACGTGTGAATCGAATTTACATAACTAGGCACCTCCCGCCTTATTTTTGAATTACTACAAAGTGGCGCCCAACTAAAAAGCTCGTACCACACCTCCAAAAAAATATATCGAACATAATATTAGCTTAAACGTTTGATAATATTATCAACCAACTAATAGGTTATTCTTAAAGCAAAAATTAAATAAATAAATAAAAGAATATAACTGTCAATAAAAATTGTTTAGTACGAGTAGAGATGGATACCACCAACTCAACTTTTACTCCGATAGCTGAAACCGTATCGAATTTAGATCAAAAACAAATAGAAATAGAACTTACAAGGCTTATTACTTCAGGAACACTATCCGAATTAAGGACTAGACTGTTACAATATCTCATGGGCGAATCTATACCCACTGATTTTACGAAATATAATACACCTACTTACAACCAAGCAAATGAAAACGAAAATACCATAAAAATTACTAGTAAAAAACCATATTTCAAACCTGGAACATTCTCGGGACTAATTTGGGAAAATTTTGACTCTTTCATCAATAAATATAATATGTCCGCATCAATTAATGACTGGTCTGAAGAAGACAAAATTCGATATTTCCCGGGTTTTCTAGAAGGTACCGCATTAAAAGCATATGAAAATATACCAGATAACAGTAACATAAAAACTAAATGGTCAAATTTAGAAAAACATTTTCGAATACAATTTGAACCTACCGCCTTAATTGACATTCTTCGTTCTCAATTAGAAAAAAGGAAACAACTAGATGACGAAAAACCCATTACATATATAACTGACATAGAATATCTATGCAGACGTGTTGACCCCTTAATGAAACAACAGGAAATAATACGCAATATTATGAAGGGCCTTAAATCAGATATTATTAGATATGTAGGTTTTATGGACAACAATACCGTAGAAAATCTTAAATATACTATTCAAATAATTGAAAAAATTGAATTTATGGGGAGTGGTAGGCTATGCAATCAATCACCATTAAAAACTAAGGAATCTATATTTAAAGAAGAAATCTTTAAAATAAGTGAAACTATAAAAACGTTAAAAGAAAATAATGAGAAACTAATAAAAGATTTACAAAATTCAACTATGACCGAAAATATTAATAAAATCACAAGTCAATTTAACGATAAATTTAATAATCTTAGCGAACAGTTTAAATCACAAAACAATCAACAACCAAAAAACACTCAATATTTTAGAAATAATAATAATACTGCGCGCTACAATTCTCCTAAAGAACAAAACATATTTGGAAATAATAATAATTTCAAATCCCAAATACCCCGTACTCAATGCAATAACTGTAAATTATACAATCACACTAGTAAAAATTGTCGTTTTCCTATAAATCCGCCGACATGTCAACTTTGTAATAGAATAGGACACATTGCTCGCGAATGCCTACAATATTTTAATCAACGAATAAATAGGTTAAATGGCCACAATGACAATAGCCATTACCCTTCTTCGTCATACACAAATATTAAAAGAGATAGCAACACAATAAATCATAGAATAAACATACTCACGGATTCATTATACATCTATGCATACTTAGATAACTCTAAAATATCACTGACCATTGATACCGGTGCTAACATTTGTTGCATCAGGCATACACTTATATCCAACAGCCATAAAATAGAAAAAACACCAATAAAATTAACGGGAGCAAACAACGAACCGCTCACTGTACTTGGCTCTACAATAGTAAACGTTATTATAAATTCTCAAATGTTCGAAATATTAACTTATGTGGTAAGAAATTTATCTTGTTCATTCATTTTAGGTAACGATTTTCTTTTCAAACAAAAAGCTCATATAAATTTCGAAAACGAAACGCTAACATTACAAAACTTATTACCTATAAAAACATATAGTAGTCATAAGAAGAATCACTATATAAATAAAATTAAAGAAGAGGTTCTAGATTTATTTACAGTAAACCCGACATATTCCATAGCTCATTGCNAAAACTCATCTATTTATATATTATATTTTTCTCGACTTTCTATGAGTATGTACCGGCAGACACCTATTGTTATAATGTTTGGATTTAAATAGAATTTGAGTTCTGAAAACTGTTTTCAGTTTTCAGAAATGTACCCCCCCGGTAAAATTAGGGGAGGGTTAGGGGTGGCTTAGCTTCTGTAAAAGTGTTTAGAATTTTCCCACGATTTTAAAAATATAGGAATATTTACGAAATATTTAATTTGTTTTATTAAAACCCGTTTCTTCTAAAGATACATAATACAATAATTGATAATTATGTATAATGAGATTTAAAATAATTATATTCGATGTGGTTGGGCCCCTTGCCAATCGCATCGCCCCTAATTTAAGAGACTTTGATCCCAGCGAGTAATATTTATATCACAAAATATATTAGATTGGCTGAGTACAAAGTAAATGGCTCAATTAGGAGCGGTTCTTGACAAGCCACAAGGAGAAGGTAACAAGTATTATAGGTAATCTTTTAAATTATTATTAATAGACAATAATAAACGATAAAATTATGGCGAAGAGGAATAATATGTATTTAGGTGACCATTAAGGGGGAGGGGGTCTATCCATTACACATCGGGGCGATAGGTCTTGGATCCGCCAGTGGGCTCTAAACCCAGTAACATAAAAACCTTAATTACGTTTATGAGTGCAATACCGACTTTAAATTGTTAATACTAATATTAATATATACGTCGATACTATTATTATAATTCTAATGATTTTTCACTGACGCGTCTAAAATATCCTAGTAAGGTTTAGAAGTACCTGTTGTATTTACCGAACAAACTTCGCCCCACAGGAGAAGACCACCTTTGAATTGTAATGTGTAGGTGGAAAGTTTGACAATTTAGTAATTATTTTATAATATATTTAAAGGAACGATAAATCATTGCAATTCTAAAAATATTCGGTTAGTCGTGTTTTTTACCTTGCAACCAAGGTAACCAAGAAATCACCAAAAATAGAACTGATTTTTCAACATTAATTATTTTTAGCCTTTTTAACTATTTAGAAAATAATACGAAATGTTTTTTTTTATAGTGTGTTATAACTTTGAATTTTTGTTTTTTTTACCGTCATTGGTAACGGAAAAACAGTTTACTGAAACTGTAGCAGTCTCGTTCCGTCATCCAGGCCAACTTGAAAAATACGTCGTATCATTACTCTCCACAGGCTCATAAATCTTTGGTGAAAAAACGGAAAAATACGTCGTATCATTACTCTCCACAGGCTCATAAATCTTTGGTGAAAAAACGAAAAAATCTTTGGTGAAAAAACGNTCACTGACGCGTCTAAAATATCCTAGTAAGGTTTAGAAGTACCTGTTGTATTTACCGAACAAACTTCGCCCCACAGGAGAAGACCACCTTTGAATTGTATTGTGTAGGTGGAAAGTTTGGCAATTTAAAAATACGTCGTATCATAACTCTCCACAGGCTCATAAATCTTTGGTGAAAAAACGAAACGTTTGAACGATTCTTTTTTAGATATAGTTTAAAAATAAATTGAAAAATGGAATATTTTAACATAATAATATAATACAACCCGGATAGCGAGTTTTTATCATTGGGTAAACAATTTAGGTTATCTATATATATATATATATATCATTCATATTTTTTATTACATATACAATATTATATTTATGTATATATATATATATATCATTCATATTTTTTATTACATATACAATATTATACTTATATATATATATTTTTTTTTATATTTTTTCAAGTACTTAGGATACCTATAGGAATCTAAATTCAGGCCAGAAGATGAAATGCATTGCATATANATTTATCCCAAAGACTCAATTAGATTTTTTTTTCGCGTTTCAATTTGAACGAGTGAAGAAAATAGGATTTTGAATTAAGGTGAACTAAATCAATTTCTACTTGAGCCATAGTCGAACATAAGGGAGGGTTTTAATCAAACAATTTAAAAAAACGATTTGAAAGGCGATAATATTTTCAATTTCCATCAACATTTGATCATAAAACCATTAAAAAAAAATTAATACATTATACTTAATTTTATTTACCGGCATGTAAAACTTGCACTGAACCTCATGTTAAGTTTTCAAGCATTTCTTTAGTACCTACCAAAACAAAATTACGTTAAAACTCGCAAAACAAATATTCATATAAATAGCTTGAAAATGGTCAAAATGTTGAAGTTTTTACCACGGCTATAAAAGGCAAATGTGAGTTTTCTCTCAAAATGTCAAGTCTCTATAAATATGTTTAACTAAATTACAACAAAAGACAACAGTGTAACAATA